TACACTGGTGCATTAAATAGGCTGAAACAGCATTGTAGTTTCCAAAAACTATGTATGAGTGAAAAAAGTATAATTATATAAACTCAACACCTTTCAGTGTCAGGAAGACAGTACCAACTTTACACTGTTTACATTACCTGAAGGGCTTCAACAACGCCATCAATAATTTCAGGTTCAATAAGTGGTTCATCTCCTTGAATATTAACAACAATGTCATACTTCTTTTGAAGCTTTTGAAGAGCTTCATTACAACGCCCAGTTCCTGGATATTAACTAGCGGTAATCAATAAATACAGTAACTAGCAAAGTCACATCTCCACCTATTTATAAACCACGAAGAAAAAACAAAGAATGATGGAATGGCGATTTTACCATTTCTACATGATTCAGATGTCATAATAACTTCAACACCAAATCCCTTACAACATTCAACAATCTTATCATCAACCGTTGCCACAACTATCAGTAAATGAACAATATGTTAAGGATCTTCCAAAGAAATAAGTTCATTCATAGTATGCTAAATGAAGCACATTACCAACATGATCCAATGTCCTAGCTAATTTTGCTCTTTCCCATGTTCTCCGTAAGTAAGATATCATCAAAGGTTAATGGCGACACACAACCCTTGCAGCATGTTTTCGTATAAATGAAGTTCACAAATTTTAGGGAACTGATTTGCAAATTACAATTCTAGATTTTTGGCTGTTCGGAATCAAACAGATTTTTTTGCAACTCATTTTACAATTCATATTTTTTTGTTTGGAATTCATTAGGAATTCATATTTTTTGGAACTTTTTTGGAATTTATTTTACAATTCATAAATTTACTCTATTCATTTGCAATTCCCGTTCTCGAATTCCATGGAATTCATTATAATTAACTCCAAATTCCAACAAAATGGCCAAAAAGGTGGAATTTCGAAATGAAATCCTCATTCCAATACTATTTCCTTTCTTTTATTTCTTCACCTAATCTTGTAATCCAACTATCGTCAGCGAAACCATATGTTCGGTCGGATTCTTGTTTCCCCCACCATAGTTGTATACTTGTACGGAATTCAGTTGGACTCAACTATTAAATTGACATCATTCCAAACAAGCATGGGAACTCTACAAGAGGTCACTTGGGAATGAAATCTACACGCGCTTAAATTTTAACTTCTGTTATATTAGTTGATAAATACAATTTCGGACAATATCCACAAATGACAACAATTCATACGAAGACAAGTCAGCAAAAGCAGATACAATGAAGAGTTGAGGATAACTCAAAGATGAGATTAGTTATACTACCTGAACCATGGGCTTGCCGAGGATATTTATTAGTGGTTTTCCCGGGAACCTAGTGGAGCCGAAACGAGCTGGTATGATTCCTACAACCCAGCTATGAAACTTCTAGGATCTGGAAAGGAATCTTTGAGCGTCGAAAACTACGGCAACAACGGCTCAAACGGCCAGGGCGTGAATCAGCCATGATTTTGTGGATGTCGACGATGACGATGACTTGCACATCGATGAATCAACCATGATTTCGTATAAGCCCTTTGTTCCAGGTGTCTTCCAGAAAGCAGTTATGTGAGCAAATTATACAGTGGATCGTTAAATCGCAAACCTCCTGCGCCCGGAGTCCCGAGTCTCGTTGGTTTAGTCGAACGTGCAGAAGAGTGAAGAACCTATGAAGGGATCATGAAGAGAGGGGTAAGAATATATAATTCAAGCATATGCAATAAATAGGTGGAAAACAGCATTGTAGTTTCCAAAAACTATGTATGAGTGAAAAAAGTATAATTATATAAACTCAACACCTCTCAGTGTCAGGAAAACAGCACCAACTTTACACTGTTTACATTACCTGAAGGGCTTCAACAAAGCCATCAATAATTTCAAGTTCAATGAGTGGTTCATCTCCTTGAATATTGACAACAATGTCATACTTCTTTTTAAGCTTTTGAAGAGCTTCATTACAATGCTCAATTCCTGGATATTAACTAGCGGTAATCAGTAAATACAACAACTAGCAAAGTCACATCTCCACCTATTTATAAACCACGAAGAAAAAACAAAGAATGATGGAATGGCAATTTTACCATTTCTACATGATTCAGATGTCATAATAACTTCGGCACCAAATCTCTTACAACATTCAGCAATCTTATCATCATCCGTTGCCACAACTATCAGTAAATGAACAATATGTTAAGGATCCTCCAAAAAAATAAGTCAATTCACAGTATGCTAAATGAAGCACATTAGCAACATGATCCAATGTCCTACCTAATTTTTTTCCTTTCCCATGTTCTCTGTAAGTAAGATATCATCAAAGATTAATGGTGACACACAACCCTTGCAGCATGTTCTGGTATAAATGAAGTTCACAAATTTTAGGAAACTGATTTGCAAATTACAGTTCTAGATTTTTGGCTGTTCGGAATCAAACAGATTTTTTGGCAATTCATTTTTAAATTCATTTTTTTTTGTTTGGAATTTATTAGGAATTCATATTTTTTGAAACTTTTTTGGAATTCATTTTACAATTCATAAATTTACTCTATTCATTTGCAATTTCCGTTCTCGAATTCCATGGAATTCATTATAATTAACTCCAAATTCCAACAAAATGGCCAAAAAGGTGGAATTTCGAAATGAAATCCTCATTCGAATACTATTTACTTTCTTTTATTTCTTCACCTAATCTTGTAATCCAACTATCATCTGCGAAACCATCTGTTCGGTCGGATTCTTGTTTCCCCCACCATATATAGTTGTATACTTGTACGAAATTCAGTTGGACTCAACTGTTAAATTGATATCATTCCAAACAAGCATGGGAACTCTACAAGAGGTCACTCGGGATTGAAATCTACAAGCGCTTAAATTTTAACATCTGTTAATTAGTTGATAAATACAATTTCGGATAATATCCACAAATGACAACAATTCATACGAAGACAAGTTAGCAAAAGCAGATACAATGAAGAATTGAGGATAACTCAAAGATGAGATTAGTTATACTACCTGGATCATGGGCTTGCCGAGGATATTTATGAGTGGTTTTCCCGGGAACCTAGTGGAGCCGAAACGAGCTGGTATGATTCCTACAACCCGGCTACGAAACTTGTAGGATCTGGAAAGGAATCTGTGAGCGCCGAAAGCTACGGCAACAACGGATCCAGCGGCCAAGGCGTGAATCAGCCATGATTTCGTGGATGTCGACGATGAAGATGACTTGCACATCGATGAATCAGCCATGATTTCGAATAAGCCCTTTGTTCCAGGTGGCTTCCAGAAAGCAGTTATGTGAGCAAATTATACAGTGGATCGTTAAAATGCAAACCTCCTGCGCCACTCAAATAGTGAGTCCCGAGTCCCGTTGGTTTAGTCGAACACGCAGAAGAGTGAAGAACCTATGAAGGGATCACGAAGAGAGGAGTAGGAATATATAATTCAAGCATATGCAATAAATAGGCTAAAAACAGCATTGTAGTTTCCAAAAACTATGTATGAGTGAAAAAAGTATAATTATATAAACTCAACTCCTTTCAGTGTCAGGAAGACAGTACCAACTTTACACTGTTTACATTACCTGAAGGGCTTCAACGACGCCATCAATAATTTTAGGTTCAATAAGTGGTTCATCTCCTTGAATATTAACAACAATGTCATACTTCTTTTGAAGCTTTTGAAGAGCTTCATTGCAACGCTCAGATCCTGGATATTAACTAGCGCTAATCAGTAAATACGGTAACTAGCAAGGTCGCATCTCCACCTATTTATAAACCACGAAAAAACAAAGAATGATTGAATGGCGATTTTACCATTTGGTCCATTTCTACATGATTCAAATGTCATATTAACTTCAGCACCAAATCCCTTACAACATTCAACAATTTTATCATCATCCGTTGCCACAACTATCAGTAAATGAACAATATGTTAAGGATCCTCCACAAAAATTAGTCCATTCACAGTATGCTAAATGAAGCACATTACCAACATGATCCAATGTCCTAGCCAATCTCGCCCTTTCCCACGTTGTCTGTAAGTAAGATATCATAGAAGGTTAATGGTGACACTTGCAGCATGTTTTGGTATAAATTAGGTTCACAAATTTTAGGGAACTGATTTGCAAATTGAAATTCTAGATTTTTGGCTGTTCGGAATCTAAAACAGATTTTTTTTTTTAAATTCATTTTACAATTCAATTTTTTTGTTTGGTATGCAAAATAAATTTATTCTATTCATTAGCAATTCCAGTTCTCGAATTCAATGGAATTCATTATAGCTAAAACCAAATTCCAACAAAATAGCCTAATGGGTGGAATTTTGAAAGGAAATCCTCATTCCAATACTATTTCCTTTCTTTTATTTCTTCACCTAATCTTGTAGTCCAAGTATCATCAGCGAAACCATCCGTTCGGTCGGATTCTTGTTTACGCCACCATAGTTGTATACTTGTACGAAATTTAGTTGAACTCAACTGTTAAATTGATATCATTCCTAACAAACATGGGAACTCCACAAGAGGTCACTTAGTCATGAAATCTACAAGCACTTAGATTTTAACTTCTGTTAAATTAGTTGATAAATACAATTTCGGAAAATATCCACAAATGACAAGAACTTATACGAAGACAAGTCAGCAAAAGCAGATACAGTGAAGAATTGAGGATAACTCAAAGATGAGATTAGTTATAATACCTGGATCATGGGCTTGCCGAGGATATTTATGAGTGGTTTTCTCGGGAACCGAGTGGAGCCGAAACGAGCTGGTATGATTCCGACAACCCGACTACGAAACTTGTAGGATCTGGAAAGGTATCTGTGAGCGCCGACAACTAGGGAAACAGCGGCTCCGGCGGCCAGGGCGTGAATCAGCCTTGATTTCGTAGATGTCGACGACGACGATGAATTGCACATCGAGATTTCGCTTATGCCCATATTCTGCCTGGGAGGTCAACTCTACAAGACCTTTGTTCCACGTGGCACCCAGAAAGCAGTTCTGTGGGAGCCTTGCAAATTATCGGGTAAAATTACAATTACTTACAATTTTAGGTCTATTAGTTATAGATTCATGAACTCCCTGCTTAGCTTTCTCTCACGACGATTACTCGTGCATAGGCACCAAAACTGACCAAAGTCTATAAGTCTCACTTTCATTTTATCTTTTATTTCAATAATTATCAATTTCTTCCTCAAATTGACTTATCTCAATATTCTATACTGAAAACATTAATGGAATGATACGGAGTAATTTATTTGAAATATCTTCATTTCTTTATTTCACTAAGGAGTGTTTCTTCGGCGTAAAAAAAACACTTTTGGAAGTAATTTTGGAAAAAGTGATTAGTAATAAAAGTTTATAATGTTTGAGAAAAAATGATTTCAAAACCTAAAAGTTAGTAGTGTTTGGTAAATAATTGTTTTTGTGTAATAGAAAACGTAAAAATTCACTTTTTGCACAAAAGTCAAGAAATATTTTTTTAAGTAGAAGTTGTCACTTAAAACACTAATTTTAACTTTTTAAGTCAAAATCCGAGAAGCGCTTTTTTAAAGCAATTGCAAACACTCCCTAATAGTGATCTACTATTTCCCTTTAAAGTATCTCTTAAACACTAATGCCCACTAACGGTTAGAAAAAATGCCTAATTGAATTTTCATTCATTACTTGAGTGAGTGTTTATTCTTTGTTGCACTTGAATAAAGTATTGACCGTGCATACTTAATTTTGCATAATAGTTCTTTGTTTTGAGTAGAATTAAATAGACTTTTTGCTACTTCCACATCTTTAATGATAATATAGTAAATTATTAATAAAGAATCTCTACATGTGCATATTATAGATAGCGGTTTATATTATATTCGAATGAGCTTTCACTTAAATGAAATGTGCATACACAAATGAACATTCAATCACATTAGAGAATCTAAAGAGCAATGAATTTTCCGATACTCATTTCGTAAGTAAATTTCAATTGGAAACCGTGTCTCACGTGTTACTAATTTAATGGTGAAGGATTTTAAAAGGAGATTATCCTTCAGTATTTAACTCTGCATCCCGTATGGGATTAATAGGTGATGTGAATGAATAGATTGAAGAGTTGAATTAGAAGACAATTTGATCACAAATAGGTGCTCATATCAAATTGAAGAATGTTCATAGATACGGATATTAACTAAATTCAAATAAGCGACAAAACAGATACCCTCTACACAATCAACTTTGTTATCATAAATTTAGCTATAGCTTCTTTTTGAACTGGTGCTAGCTTAGTTAGAGACCATGCAGGAGCGATTATTGCAGCGGATGGCTTCCCCCTCAGCGGCTCATCTTCCGGGGAAGAAGATTTGTTGTCTCAGGCGATGCGATGGTCTGAATCATTTGGGTTCACTGTTGTGGAAGTGGATTGCATTTATATGGGGGCTGCTGGATCGAGTTGGGGCGGGGCTCGACTGGGCTTACATTTTATTCCAGCCCAGGTTAATCAGGCTGCTAAGGAAGTGGCTAAGTTGGGCTCCAATGGGCCTTTTTCTTGGAGAATTGGAGATTTCCTACCCAAAACACTAGCTGGTTCTATTCACCTGGATTCTATTGACACTCCCTATATTATTTGTTGAGTTTACTCTTAGCTTCTTTTTTATTTGCGGAGTTTGGTTCGGTCCCCTTCTCCTTTTGTATCTTATCGCATTTATTAATAAAATTTAGGCAGCTGTCCCCCGGCTCCTGCCCCACTGATTTTGGTGGTTTGCCTTCCGGGGTTAAAAAAAAAAAGAACTGGTGCTAGCTGTCTGTTTCTTTTTGCCTTCTTGGCTATGTTTGGGAAACGGCTGATCAGGCACGTTTTAGCTCTTTTGACCAAAATCAACTTCTTTGACTACTCAAACAGCTAATAACATCGTTTGGTAATTAATTTGGACAATTGGGTATCAATATTCAAGGGAGAAGGCGGAATCACATAATGAACGATTAATGAAGAAGATTTGCCCATCTGCCTTTAGAGAATTAGAAATCAGAAAACCTAAAACCCCTTGTTAGGTTGTTGGAATAAAAAAATTGAGAAGAAGCAACTGATACCATATGAAATAATAATTGTGGAATAATGGCTCATCCTAATAGGGTGTCCTGATGTTATTATTATATTTATAAGAGGAGAAGAATTATAAATTACAAATTTGTCATGTTTAAACTTTAAACCGCTGGAGTTAATCATCATAATTTTTTAGATGAATTTGTATTGCTAAAAATGATCTCAAATCTTGAATTTGAGATGAATTTGTACAATTATTTGTAAAACATCTTCTACGGAGTATCATAATGCTTCAAAATCGAAACATTTACCAAAATAACTAAAAAATGATTGTGATACCATATAATCCTTGAAAACTGTCTTTGAATTTTATGGTGGTATTTTTCAAAATCAAAATAGTAAGTATTACTACGTAGTAACTGGAGTATGATTTATTACGTATAAAAATATAAAGTAAGGGTTAATGCAGTAAAATAAAAAACTGGCAACTCACAAAGTAAAATAAAAAACTGGCAACTCACAAAGTAAAATAAAAAACTGGCAACTCACAAAGTAAGGGTTAATAAAGTAAGGGTTAATGCAGTAAAAACTGGCACATCCTCCTACACCACACAACTTACCAAATGAGTATTGGAAATACGAAGTTGCTCTAAGAATCGTGCAGTTTTTTCTAGTTTAACCAGTAAGAAGGAGACAGTAACCAAATACGAAGTACATTTAATCAAGGAAAGAAATCAAACAAAACAAATCTAAAAAAACTAATCAAAATTGACGATATGGGTTTAATTTGGCGGGAAATGATCAGAAAATGTCGAGAATTTCGAGTATGAAATTGTTGCAGAGCGGACAATTCCCCTTCTCCGCCCAAAGCTCCCTCGAGCAGAGCCTGCAGAACGTGTGGCCGCACGGCTCGAACGGCTCGCCCTTGTGCCTCACCATACACACGCAACAGTTGTGGAATTCCCCGCCGCCGTAGTCCTCACAACCTCCGCCTTCATCCTCCTCCTCTTCCTCATCCATCATGTATCCGCCTTCCGATTCCGCCAGCAACGCCATCAGCGACATCCTCACCGGCTGCACTCCTCCTCCTCCTCCGCCCTCCTCGTTTTCTCCGTCTTCTCCCTCGCCTCCATCGATTTCATCATCCCCGCCTTCGGCCGGTCTCCTTATTGACATCGAGCTCTGTAATTTGAAGTTCCTATCTGCCGGTCCGCCCGCGCGGCTCGGATTCCTATTCAACATTCTGCTCGACGGCGCGGATCTCAGATCTCTCCGCGAGGCGGACATAGAGAGCTCCGGTTTGTATTCCTCGGCGGGGTATTCAGCGTCAGGGCCGTGGTTCGTGGAAGGAAACCGGGAGGAAAGCCTCCGAGCCATCATTGCCCGGTTGTTCGTCGGATTGATCGGGACGTCGGAGGCAGGGATCGGGACGGTGGAAGTCCAGGCGGCGCCGGCACGCTTCAGCCGGAGCTTTTCCTTGAAATGCTTCCATGTTTTCCGGTTTTCCTTGCTGCCGTTCGGATCGTCCTTTATGACATCTAGAAGGGTCCGCGTCTGGTGGGGGGTCACCGCCGACATCTCTCCGCCGCCCAATACGGCCAATAACGTTAGACCGGATAGATTTTCTCGGTGGCTGTGCGACTCTGCTTTTTCATCTAAGATCAACGGTCTACTCCTCCCAACAACACCGTGATGCATTCACGCTTACTGTGATTCGAAGCAATTATGCTAAAAAAATTCTATTCCATTTCTTGCTGTTTTTTTGCCATTGGTTGGTTAGAAGAAATGGAGGTTGAAGGAGATTTGAGTGTTGTGGTAGACAACAATAATACGGACACCACACAGTCTCTAACAATCCCAACGGCACACCATAACCATTAAACGATCAACGCAAGCACTAATGTATTGGAATTTGTAAAAATGCAAAGAGAAACAGAGAATTAGAGAACCATAAATCATAAGATTACTACTACGTAGAAAATTAAAACGGTGAGTTGATATATTTTGCACTGTTTATTGAATGATTATGAATTACTCCGTATGACAGTAAAATACTAAAATATAAATCTAAAGACATGGAACTTGTATGACTCTGTTATCTCTCCTCTCCTGGAACTTTCTGTTAAATAATTGTCTGATCAAAACCCTATCGATATGCCATGGAATCTGGTCGGTTTCCTTATTTCATATTCTTTTAGAATACAACCTTGCTATTTGTTATACTCCTGCTACAGCACTTTAGATCTTCTTCCTCGAGCAAATCATCTTTTTCCTCATCTTCTTTGCTTAGTCCATCCTCTGTATCTGATTCCCCCATGTACCATTTATGGTCCTGCACCATTTTAGAGAATAGTTTTCTGCCACCAGCTCCCCAGGTTGCATTTGGAGCCGTATGTGGAGCAGAGGACACGAGTTTTACAGTAGAGGGTGGTGTAGCCCTGTAATCACCAGGTTTCTGTTGGGGATTCGACGGGGAGTTTACATCTGTACCAGCTACGAACATGGTTATATCAGGTACTTGGGAGGGTACTTTGGCATCGCCGTCTGCCTTACCTGGATTTTGTTTGTTTCTGCTTTTCCGTTGTCTGCCTTAGCTGGAACTTGATTTCGTTTTAAGGATAAATAGATAGAAAAGAATTCAAACAATGGCTGAAGCGCCTTCACCTAAACCTCCGTGGAGTGCCGCTTGGTAAGAAAAATACTTATGTTTTCTTGTTCTAAACAGACTTTAAATAAAGGACTCAAATGCAATTAAATTAACCGTCATATTTTTGACGTGTTGTATTTTAAATACAGGGTATAAATCTAATTAGATATACACATGTGGCATTTTAATTCAGCCACCCAGGCAAAGGTACAGTATACTTCCAAATAAGAGAGGTACCGTAGGAAGAGGTAAATTATTATAAGGTACAAGCGGCTGTACCTTGAGCATGGTACAACCTGGTATTTTTGTAATAAAAAGGAACTTTAAGCCTTTTATCCCAGACTATTTCTTTGGGCGATCGGGGTCTTCTTCGTGGAATCTACCAACGCCGTCAAAATCACTTTCCTTGTTACACCGTTTCCATCGACCATTCATCGTCGTTAAAGGATCTATTTCTATCATTTCCCCTGATTAAATCCATTATCGATCTTGAAAGTTCAGAGGCAGGATCGAGAAATACACTTCCTCAGCTCACATGTATGGGCGGCATTTAAGGCCATCTCCAACAGACCACCAAATCACACACCAAAATGGTGTATTTGCCAAAAACTTGCTCCAACAATGACACCATTCTCCACACCATTACACCATTTTGGGGGAGAGGAGATGGCTTTACGCCATATATGGCGTACACCATATCTAACACTATCCACCCTTTTTAATTTCTTTTCCTTTTAAATGTGACCTTCAAGTTTTATTTATTATAGTTTTGACCCATTTTTAAAACAACAAATTAAGATGTTTTACTTGGACTGAAATTGGTTTGTCCGCTCTGGTCTGGTCTGGTCTGATCTGAAATGATGTGGTCTGGTATGATTTCTTTGTATTTTTATAACTACCCAAGTGTGGTATAATCAGGTCTGATCTGATCCCGAGACAAATTACAGTCCAAGTAAAAACATCCTTATAGAACAACAAATTAAAATTATTAATTTGATAGAAAAAATATAATAAAATTTAAATCACACAATATTATAAATAAAGTTTCAAATCCAAACAACATTATAATAGAATACAAATGGTACTTAAGGAAATAGCATAATTAAAATTACAATTAATAACAACATTATAATTAAAATTAAAACATAATTAAAAACATACATGGTACATACTAATTTAGAAATGTCAAAGTAATTAAATGAGGGGCTAATGTATAAATATATGATAGTTAGATACTTAAATAGAAGAATGGTAAAAAGTTAGTAAAAAGAATAAAAAGAGAATATTCCTTTTTGGTGATGAAAATGGTGTAAACTGTTGGAGATAAAATACTGTTTGATGTGATGTTTACACCATTTTAGTGTAAAAAATGGTGTTAACTGTTGGAGATGGCCTAAGCCACAGGTGAAATCCATCCACAAATGGCTTCTCTTCTGATTCCATCATCTCAACTATAGCGCAAATTCCTCAAGCCATCTGGCATCTTTTTTGCAATTACAAGCTCAGATTCCGGGAACACTCATGGCAATTTTTTTTATTTATAATAAACCTATTACATTTACATCTACATATTAAAAAAATGAGTTTTATGTTAAACTCAAATGAGTATAACGTATAAATGAAATGAATATAAGCGAATCAGTTTTAAAATGTTATGATACTAATTTTATAATTTATGTTTGCTCATTTGGTATCAGTGTTATACTCATGTTAAAATGTTATATCAATGCATATTATATTTTCACAAATACCATAATAGATGAGATTCACATACGAATTGATTATAGTCACGAGAGCACATCATGATACTCATTCACCTGATTCTAAAACTCAATACAGAAGGTTTGATGCTCAATGAAAACGTCTTGAAGCTCAACTGACAAAACTTACGATTATAATATCAATGCTCATTTTGTAAGTTGCGTCTGTTCATTTGAAATTATTGTTATGCTCATTTTTAAAATGTCATAACAATGCATATTTCAAAAGTATCAAATTACATTAGATTCACATATTGAAATTCATGGAATTGATTATAGATATAATTTAATGAGATTTATAAAAGAAAAAATAATAAAAGAAAGTGAATTATATATGAAGTTGATATCACAATTTTCATTATTCGAATTTTAATGCTCAGTAGAATACGTATGATGCTCATTAAAAGTGTAATAATGCTCATCTGAAGAAAATCGCGATTTTCACTGAAATTATGAAAATGCCACCGTTTTTTAAATTGTGATATCAGCTTTCTTGTAATAACATGATGCTCATTATTGGATTCTTAATACTTATTAGAATTGAGCAAGAGGTTTGCGATTTAACGATCCACTGTATAACTAGTATCGTACCCGTGCGATGCACGAGACAATGGAGCTCTTTAGGTTATATTTTGGTTTTTTTGGTATGAAAGGAAACATTGTTGAACGCCCCTTGCCGAGGGCCTCTCCAGACGTCCCCTCGGACCCCTCGGACTGGGCATCATGCAGAATGATTTGGAGGGAGGAAGGCTGAATTTGAACGCCCTCTGTATTTAAAAGAATGCTACATTAGACTCTAAACATTATTTAAGAAGGAAATAATAGGGATAATGAATAGTGTATAAAAATATGAGAGCATATGCAAAAGTATGCAAGAGAAGATAAAAATTAGAAAATGTAGGTTTAATTGAATATTTTTAAAGAAAAAACATACTTAAAAGTGGAAGTGTAACAAACTTTAAGTACATCCAAAAAGGAAAATATAACAAACTTTAAAATACGGAGGGAGAAAGTATACAACAAACATGTACGGAGTATATGTTCTAGTACATGTACAATAATAATATAAAACACCCATATGATTAGATACGATATAAGGAGTACAAAACAATACAATAAATAAATTGTTTAATTACACACTTGGAAACATATAAATATCAGCCCATATAAAATTAAAGGAGTGTTTGGGTTTGCTTAAAAAAAGCACTTTTTAGCTTTTGATTTAAAAAAAGTTGAAAAGAGTGTTTTCAAATGACAACTTCTGCTTAAATTAATCACTTAAAAGCTAAAAGCTGGAAGCAGGTAGAAGAGTGCTTTAAACTGCTTCTCACTTTTTCTATTATACAAAAAGTACTAGTACTTATTTTACCAAACACTACCAACTTTTACTTTTCCAGAATCACTTTTTATTCAAACACTACCAACTTTTACTATTAATCACTTTTCCCAAAATTACTTTAAAAAATCACTTTTTTAAAGTTGAAGCAATTGCAAACTCTCCCTAAGTCCAGTCTCTTTACAAACAAACCGTAATTGGGCATGTATATAAACTATACTCCGTAAACGTTAGTTTTGGGCTACGGCTGAGAGCACCAGTACTTGCAGGCCGCAGACCTGTTCCTCGTTGCCGACTTATCCCTGTAATCTTTCTGATCCTCTTTCCCCATTCTATCTATATTTCCTTCGAGTATGTCCTGGAAGTGTCTCTCCCAACTGCCCCAGCGTCGTTCCCATTTCTTCTGTTCTGATTTGAAGAACTCAAGGCTTCCCTCCATCGTCAACGACTGAGCTTTCAATGCTCTCAACAACGAAGCTTATAGAGGTTGGCTTTTAAATTCTTTTAACGTTTTGCCTTGTATTCGAATTTCATCTAGTGCCTGGCCCTAAAATAAATAAAAAAAAGTTACTATTTCTCAATTGCTTGAATTGTTCATCAACGCAATATGTAAAGTTGTGTGCTATATGAGGTGCATTATTTAATTCCATTTGTAGTTCCTTGTTCGAAGTTGTTTTATTATTCAGTAATATCCAAATTCTCTTCTATGCTAGCAATTACGACAGATACAGACCCATGCGGCCATGCTCCTCGTTTACTCCCTAAAATGGTACAAATCCGATTAAATACATTATACATGAATTGGGCTATTAAAAGTTAATGTTCACATTATGAATGTATAGTCTAGGACATTGGGTCAGTTAAATGTATGCATTACTACCTAGTTGTTAACAACAACAACCAAGCCTTAATTTCAAAAAAGATTGGCACTTTACTACCTAATTGGTTTACATTGATAAAATTTTAAATACAAACAAATACTTCAACCATACCTGTAGGTTTTTTCATATAATAACTATTCACATCTTAGGGGTTTGGTTATTTAGCATTTGACAGTATTGAGAACTTATGAAATTTTTAAAAAGTATTTGTTGTTATTCAGATATTATTTACCTATAAAATTACATAAATAAAACATTTGGATAAAAATGTCTCCAAATTGACCACAAGTACACTTTTATAGTCATAAAGTTTGATCATAATTAGTCGTTAAGAGATACTGATCAAAATTTTGCCCACTATCTTTGTTTTGGACACATTAAGTACTATTTCATACATTCGGTAGGCATCTTATTTGAATGAGCTTTAATTTCTTCTTCTATTCTGGCCACTTAGGTGGATTGAAAGAGGATGTTTAAATTGAAAGAACTGGGAAATAAAAATGTTCATCTTGTTTCCTTAAGTTAATGAGTTCTAGAGTGCGAAATAGAGTAAAAATGTTCATCTATTGCCCTCTTATTTCCTCATTTATAAAACAAAACAGCTGAGTAAAAAATAAACCAAGATTAAACGATTGGGTACATATAATAGTGTATATATGTACTTTAAATACATTGTTTTTGCGTATTGTTGAAAACTCAACACAAAATACCTCAGGCATTAAAGAATTCCATCCTTAAAGGTAGTCATAAATCACAACGTTCTTTATATATTTACATAACACTACAGAACTTTCAATATGCTTTAACCTATTCTAGTATTAAAGCTTATCTGTTTCCTCCTATTTGCATTTATTAAGTATGCTAATGTATTTATGCTTATACGAATCTTGAATAATTCATATCTCAAGGTGTCCATCTTTCAGATTTGAACAATATATTTTCATGATTAAGCGTGAAAAGAAGAAAGGTACATCTGAATCATCGAAAACACGTCCTGGCATGTTAAACATTTTTTGCATTGTTGTTGAGTAGTAGAAATATTCATGGGATGACCAACTTCGATCTCATCACCTCCATCACTGTGTTGAAATATTTTCCATTTGTTCTTCAAACTGCGAAAACAAAATTGAAATGTGTAACTTTCTACAGGTACCGAGTCTGTGTTATGATTTAGGATTTAGATGATATCATATATCAAAGTTAAATTCTCAGCAAAATTAAATTCTCTGGTAAGGGGTAGAAATTTACTACTATGCGTACTCCTGAGTTTTGATAGCTTATATTCCTTTATGTCTTTATGTCGCAGCATATAAATAATGATTTGAGTGGGTGATAACCGCATTGAAGAACTGCCATGTTAAGGACGTGCAGTAACTAATCCACTATTGCACTTCGAATGACATTAAGGAACTGCCACGTGATTGCTTTAGTGAACTGCCAATTTGTATTTTGATTATCTGTTGACACGTGTAATACTTTAATGGTCAGATTTGTACATTTGGTTCTCACGACTAAGCTTTTATATATATAAAGATTTGCTCACAGAACTGCTTTCTGGAAGCCACCTGGAACAAAGGGCTTATACGAAATCATGGCTGATTCATCGATGTGCAAGTCATCGTCATCGTTGACATCCACGAAATCATGGCTTATTCACGCCCTGGCCGCTGGAGCCATTGTTGCCGTAGCTTTCGGCGCTCACAGATTCCTTTCCAGATCCTACAAGTTTCGTAGCCGGGTTGTAGGAATCATACCAGCTCGTTTCGGCTCCACTAGGTTCCCAGGAAAACCACTCATAAATATCCTCGGCAAGCCCATGATCCAGGTAGTATAACTAATCTCATCTTTGAGTTATCCTCAATTCTTCATTGTATCTGCTTTTGCTGACTTGTCTTCGTATGAATTGTTGTCATTTGTGGATATTGTCCGAAATTGTATTTATCAACTAATTTAACAGAAGTTAAAATTTAAGCGCTTGTCGATTTCATTCCCAAGTGACCTCTTGTAGAGTTCCCATGCTTGTTTGGAATGATATCAATTTAACAGTTGAGTCCAACTGAATTCCGTACAAGTATACAACTATGGTGGGGGAAACAAGAATCCGACCGAACAGATGGTTTCGCTGACGATAGTTGGATTACAAGATTAAGTGAAGAAATAAAAGAAAAGAAATAGTATTGGAATGAGGATTTCATTTCGAAATTCCACCTTTTTGGCCATTTTGTTGGAAATTGGAGTTAATTATAATGAATTCCATGGAATTCGAGAACGGGAATTGCAAATGAATAGAGTAAATTTATGAATTGTAAAATGAATTCCAAAAAAGTTCCAAAAAATATGAATTCCTAATGAATTCCAAACAAAAAAAAAATATGAATTGTAAAATGAATTGCAAAAAAATCTGTTTGATTCCGAACAGCCAAAAATCTAGAATTGTAATTTGCAAATCAGTTCCCTAAAATTTGTTGACTTCATTTATACCAAAACATGTTGCAAGGGTTGTGTGTCACCATTAACCTTTGATGATATCTTACTTACAGAGAACATGGGAAAGGGCAAAATTAGCTAGGACATTGGATCATGTTGGTAATGTGCTTCATTTAGCATACTATGAATAGACTTATTTTTTTGGAGGATCCTTAACATATTGTTCATTTACTGATAGTTGTGGCAACGGATGATGATAAGATTGCTGAATGTTGTAAGGGATTTGGTGCTGAAGTTATTATGACATCTGAATCATGTAGAAATGGTAAAATCGCCATTCCATCATTCTTTGTTTTTTCTTCGTGGTTTATAAATAGGTGGAGATGTGACTTTGCTAGTTACTGTATTTACTGATTACCGCTAGTTAATATCCAGGAACTGAGCGTTGTAATGAAGCTCTTCAAAAGCTTCAAAAGAAGTATGACATTGTTGTTAATATTCAAGGAGATGAACCACTTATTGAACCTGAAATTATTGATGGCGTTGTTGAAGCCCTTCAGGTAATGTAAACAGTGTAAAGTTGGTACTGTCTTCCTGACACTGAAAGGTGTTGAGTTTATATAATTATACTTTTTTCACTCATACATAGTTTTTGGAAACTACTATACTGTTTTCAGCCTATTTATTGCATATTCTTGAATTATATATTCCTACCCCTCTCTTCATGATCCCTTCATAGGTTCTTCACTCTTCTGCATGTTTGGCTCTCATGATCACAGAGATTCATTTTCAGTATTTTTGGGAAGAAAGAAAATAATGAAGGAGTATATGGAGGGAAGATACTTTACCTTGTCTGGAAGGAAGTAAAATAAGGATTGACTGGAACATAAGCCTAATTTCTCAGTTCTTCTCTTTCTCTCAAATTTAAAGGAAAAATCACTATTCAGTAAAAACTGACCTTTTATCCAACTTTTACAAATTTGAAGTTTATTTTTGTGCATGATATGAAGACCAAACCCAAACTTAGTGTATATTTCATTATTTCTCAAAGCATATAATATTTATTTTTTTGTTATTGTTATTAATATATTGTTAGTTGTTACTAATATATTGTTATTAATATTTTAGTATTATTATTTATTATTATTATTATTTACTACTCATATTGTTTTTGCCGTATTCTTATTATCAATATTTTTGTGAACATTATTTCCATTCCCATTGTCATGATTACTTTTATTAAATATTAATATTATTATCTTATTGTCGTTGTTGACTTGTTTTTTATTTTTACAATAGTGTTGACTCTTATATTGTTATTATTATTATTATTATTAATCAATAATCATTATAACTCTTTAATTATTATATTTATTATTTTGGTCAGATTAAATTTAATTGGTTTATTTAACTCATGAAAATATATTTCTGTCATCTTGAATAATATATAGAAAATAATTTGTTGTGATGATTCTTTACCACTAAATGATACTCCCTCCGTCCCACTAACATTGTCCCATTTTACCTTTTCGGGAAGTCCCACTAAGATTGTCTCATACCATATTTGGTAAAGATTGTGTGGTTCTAAATCATTCTAACTTTATTCTTACTTTATCAATTTAATATCAACCACGCAAACCTACTTTTCTTAATAATCGTGCCACCTTCTCTCGTCCCAATCTTAGTGGGATGGAGGTAGTGATAGAGACCTCCAATTATCCAGAACAATTACAGAGATTATATCAAGAAACAAGAGAAAATTTGTATTGAAGATGATGAACAGTACAGTAACAATGCCGAAGCCCCCCAAAGATAAGAGAAACAGTCTTCTCAGATCTTCCCAGTCCCAAGACCTAATGTCTAAAAGCCTGCCTTCTGCCTTCCTTCCCCTTACTATTTATAGTATAAGTCCTCTGATTATTCTCTATACTAATAGGCCCATTATAACAGGCCCACTAATCAGTATCTATTATGAATATTCTTTCTATTATTAGTCTAATAAGTGGGTTCCTATCAATACTCCCGCCCTAAACAACCACTTTGTCCTCAAGGTGGGTGATAGGAAACCGCTATGATCTTCCGCTTCCTCTTCTTTGTTCCTCTCCCTTCCCAATATCTTTCAAATTTCAGGATCCTGAACTCCATGATTTGAATCTTCCTTTTCACTGCTTCTTGCAAAAACAACATTAGCTCCTCTTCCTTCCAATCATCAATATTAGTCCTGTGTCTTTGATCTTGCTGGTACTGATCTTCACCCATTATCCCTTGCTCATTCTTCCACCTGCTAATAGCTCTTACTACAGGATATAACTCAAACCCTTGAGTTTCAGTTGCTTCATGCCTTGATATTGCAGCATTCACAGTAGCCAACTGAAACTGGTAGTCACCCACTCCAGCCCCATCTGGAACAAGTAAACAGACCACTGGCATTTCTGGCACTCCAAACGACCCTTTCAGTAAACAGACCGGTTCACCATAGAAATTTTCTGAAAATTTTTGTGTAACAACAATTTCGCCTAGAGTTTGCTGGTAACTCTTAGGAGCCATCTTCTGTAATAGCCTTGAGAAAAAATCAGTAATCTCATGGACTGAGAGGTTATGAGCTGTCTTTGCACACATGTCTCCCAACCTTAGATGTTTTTCTGGTGCTTTAAATGAATTATATAGGCCAAGCTTGTGGCAGCTTATCTTGCACTCAACCATTAGCTGTAATTCTGCTACTTGTACTCCTTGCACTAATTCGGATACCTCAGCAGGTAAAGAACCAACATCATGAATTGTTTTGTTGTTTCCTAAGTTGATAGCATATTTCCCATAGAAAGGATAAGCATGGGACTCCTGAGCCTCTGGTTTCATCCTTCTTTTACCAGTGTATGAATTTTCTGAAAACATTTCCATTGATAAACTTTTGACAAGAACAGCTTTATCTTCTGCAACTTTCTTGATTTTAAGTAATCTATTTTCGGGAGCAATCAGGACTCTACTACCAGAAGAGCATGGTTGAATAAGTTTGTCAACCATAAAAATTTGTCTGGGAATTAAATCCAAATAGTCTCCAAGATTAGGGGAAACATAATCTGACCATTGAATATTCTGCCTTTCCTCCCTGATTTCATCTTTCTTATTTCTTTGCTTGATTACAGGTTCAGTTGTTTCCATCTGGATTACAGGTTCATTTGAAACTGGTGATTTAGCCAGATTCCACTCAAGATTGGTGTCTTTAATGAAATTTCCCGCATATAAGCTTGAGCTGATTCGGAAACCTGGGACAGAAGTTTTGATGAAATCTGCAAATCAGTAAAAATTCCTTCTGATGACGGTGCCGGATGATGATTAATTAGCGGGTTGGGCAAACCAGTTCGTGTAGAAGATTGCGAACTGGAGGAAGTTCTTCGAGACTTCGATGAATCTCTGCTTTCTGTCTTCTCTGTCTTCGGCCGGCGTTTAGGTGGAAAATCCCTAATCAAGTCTTCCTTTAGAGCCTCCCAACTATCTTCTCTCTTTTGAAAATCCCACCATTGAAACCAGTCATCTGCGGCTTCGCCCATTGCCTTTGCTGCCATGTCCACTTTAAATCTTTCTGCAATAGCTTGTACTCGGAAATATCTTTCCATCCTCTCTATCCATTTGTACGCTTTATCCTCGTAGAATAGAGGTAATTTCTCCGTCTTTGAATTAGCTGAGTTCCCAGAAACTGCTTTAGAAGAGGATAGCGAACTGTGAGAATCATTTGGTGAAGAAGAAGATTCTCTTCTCAATCGTGTCTTTCTTGAACGCGGACTAATGTCCGTTGAGAAAGTCTGATGCGAAGAGCAATGATAAGAATGATGAGAACTCTGTGAAGAGCAATGAGAAGAGCTTTGCGAAGAAACAGTTCGCGAATCTGTCTGTGATCGCTGATGAGGCTTACTGTTCCTCGTTCGATCGCCAGGTTGTCTGCGATGCCTCCGCTCTTCTAATTCCTCTGGGCTCGCTGACCTTCGCGTGTGATGATGATAAGATTCGCCATGCGATGCGTTTGACGCATGCGATCTGTTCCGCGAGCTACTCTGGACTGTATTTTCCAGCCTTGCGATGTCCGTCTTTATGACTGTCGAGGTCGTTGCCATCGTCGCCATTTTTGCCGATGTTTCTTTTTGTTTTCTTTCCAGGTCGTTAATTCTCCCTTCCATTCTGCGCGTGAGTATCTCAACCAGCGATCAAAGGCTCTGATACCAATGATAGAGACCTCCAATTATCCAGAACAATTACAGAGATTATATCAGGAAACAAGAGAAAATTTGTATTGAAGATGATGAACAGTACAGTAACAAGGCCGAAGCCCCCCAAAGATAAGAGAAACAGTCTTCTCAGATCTTCCCAGTCCCAAGACCTAATGTCTAAAAGCCTGCCTTCTGCCTTCCTTCCCCTTACTATTTATAGTATAAGTCCTCTGATTATTCTCTATACTAATAGGCCCATTATAACAGGCCCACTAATCAGTATCTACTACTCCCTCCGTCCCAATTTGTTTTGCAAAGTCAACAATTTTTGGTCAACTAATAATAAAAGTCAACCCTCCGTATGGATAATTAATTCAATTTTTAATAATTAAAATTTACATATTCAAAAACTACATTAGAATCTCTTCAAAATTGTAAACTCCAAATTAGAATATAATTAAAAATTGACATCGTAATTAAGTGCACAAAACGAGACTGTTTGACTAAGAAAAGTCAAATTTGCAACTCTTTTTGGGACGGAGGTAGTATGAATATTCTTTCTATGATTAGTCTAATAAGTGGGTTCCTATCGGGTAGTACTTAACATTTTTAGTATTGTTAGTCATCTTTGTATATGAAAAATGAGTGATGTATTTCTACATTAAGAACCCAAGAGAGGATATTGGCATATTGCGCTGAAGAATTTTAATTACAATCATGAGATCGAATATCGTTACATTAAAAGAGATTAATGTTGATCCAATAGTATTGCATTGTTACACTGTTAGTATTATTATTTTACTCAAAAGTAATCAGCAAAAAATATTAAGGTGATTAGATTCTTAAAAAAATACTAAGGTGATTAGAGTATCACCTAAGTGGTCAGATGCTAGAGTTTTACAGACATTGCATCACTACATGGCTGATCATTCTAGTTCTTAACTTCATAGAAGTGTAAAACTACTGATGGGAGTATGGGACAATTCAGGTTAGCATTTTGTTATTCTGGCCTTATGAGACGTGAAGAAGTTAAGTAGAGCTTTAGTAGGATTTTTGCAAGGCATTACTGAGATTAATGACATTGGCTGTGATTGAGGACTGAAGAGGGGGAATGGGGTATGTTTTTAAAAATGAACTGGCCCAGGCGGTCAACCCGGAAACCAGTGAACTGTTAATAACACCGTGCTGGATTCTTAAAAACCCGATTGTCTCATAACCGGAAAACCCAATCGGCTCGGTAGAAAAGAAGTCCAGAACTAGTAGTTATTAGAAAACCTAATAGTAATGATTCTCTTTTTATCTATATATTCCTTTTATCATTTTTATCTTTTCACTTTTATGTATTTCTTATCTCTATTTGATATGATCTTTTTTATATCTGTTTTTTTATATCATAATTTATCTTTTTTCTTTCTATCTCATGTATTTCTTTTTATCCGATATCATGCATCTATTCATGTTAGCCGATCCCAAAATCTGTTAGGACTAATGCTTGGATGTTTTTTTACAATTGTTGTTGTAAAAATGACGTTGTTGTTGTTGTTGTTGTTCGTTGACTGAGTTTATCCAGGTTTGACCAAGCTGTTGTCTTGTGGCCGGGTCGATTAATAGACGAGTTTTTAAACATAGGGAATGGGTTTTGGATCTACCTACCTTATTACCTTCTTTGGAATATGTTATATACTCTGTATAACATATGGTCAGAGGAAGGTTATATTATCATTACTACAACAACAACATCCACGCCTTAATCCCAAAAGATTTTGGGTCTGCTAACATGAATCAATCCATGATATCACAACAACAAAAGATATTTCATATTTCAATTCATGTAATGTGATGTGACTAGGTGATATCACAGCACCCTCCTCCTTTATCCTAACTTGGGGCAGGCACGATACCAAAAATGATCTCATTGTGGAGTTGAAGGTTATATTATCATTATTTATCCAAAATTGAATTACATTAGTTTTGATGGATGCAGGCTGCACCAGATGCAGTTTTTAGCACAGCTGTGACATCTTTGAAACCAGAAGATGCATTTGATTCAAACCGTGTGAAATGTGTAGTTGATGGTCGTGGTTATGCAATCTACTTTTCTAGGGGACTTATCCCTTTCAACAAGTCAGTATTTTTTCTTCTTTTACAAGATACGGGTTGTGAGTGGAATTTCTGATAATAAGTAATTTGCTATTTCCAACTATGTTCAGGTCCGGCAAGGTCAATCCCCAATTCCCTTATTTGCTCCACCTTGGGATTCAGGTGACCAAACTGGACTGTTGTAATTATTTTCTTGCACCTTGAATTATGCTTTTGTATTAGACTGTTAAGTAAATAATTCCTTTCCTCACACACTATTGATCTCAGAGCTATGATACAAAGTTCCTCAGAATATATCCAGAACTTCAACCAACTCCGCTGCAACTAGAAGAAGACCTTGAACAATTAAAGATCCTTGAGAATGGATACAAAATGAAGGTATTGGTCTCTTGTTTGATACATCTTGTTAAATGCATGTTTAACTAAATTAGTGCATGTTTGGTAAGACTTAAAATGGCTGAAGTGGCTTTTGAAGTTGTGGCCAAATTGGTTTAATCTGCCGAATTATAGAAAAAACTTTGAAGTGTGTGTGTGTGTGTGTGTGTGTGTATTAGGTAAATTAAAGAAACGGATATCTCAAAACAACGCAAGTGCAATGAGCTCATTTGATTTTTGTCATTTTAGTTAAAAAAAAGTAACGCATGCAATGCAAGTTTTTGTTAGCATCTGATTGTGCTAGTGCAATTAAAATGGTTAAGACAAAATAGTCTCTTATTAAATCACTTAAATTGGACAATTAAAGGCTCTTGAGGTCCTTCCTTAGAGGATGTCCTTGAAGTGTAGTCTGTAATGGCATTGATTATATGCAGGTGATTAGAGTTGATCATGAGGCGCATGGCGTTGATGCCCCAGAAGACGTTGATAAGATAGTGCAGTTCATGCGTAAACAAAACCTGTCCTAGAAGCAATTTAAACTCTAACACCCATCGGAGCAAAGTGGAGAACACATATTCGTGTGAACCATTGATCTCTTCTCTCTCTCTCTCTCATCTTTTATTTTCTTTATTTTTCTATGCTCTTATGTTATTTTTATCTTTCTGTTCGTTTTTCTATCTTATTTTCTTATACTACATATTATTTTTATCTTATATTAATTTTTATCTTATTTATGAACACTATAGTAGTGTTCATAAACAAATGAGAATATATGTTATATATTATATATAAGTCAGATGGGATCAACACTTTAATTAAAAATAAAAATTATAAAGAAGATTATATATGTGTCATTTGTGGAAAAAGGACATAACATATGGGTGAGGTCGTGTGGTATGGCCTTTGGTTGCATAATCTTTTATTTTGTTTAATTGCTTAATAAGAACCATAAATACATAGTAGTTAGTAATCATGGTTGTATTTCTTTTTGTTGAATGGTTTTGAATGTAATGAAAATGATTGATTCTGTTTGCAATATTCAAGTATGGTCAGATCTGATTTGTTTAAATTTGGTCTAGTCCGATACTCTGATTTGTTAGTTTAATTTGATATATGTGTTTTTAGAGTTTTTATACTTTTAGTCCTCCGACTATTATGTGAATGACACTTTTGGTACTTCGCTTTAAATTTTTCTATTTTTAGTCGTTTGACTATTATGCGAAAGGCGCTATTGGCACCTGTCTTTAATTTTTTTCAAATTTATTGAATAGATTTTAATATAAAAATGCACTTCTATCCTCCAACTATTATTATTGTGTCATTTGTTGTTTTCCACTTATTGTGGTAAAATCCTAACTAAATGATTAAAAATGTCAGTTTGGCAATAATAAGGGGACCAAATGTGAGTAACTTTGATGTTGAAGATCAAAAGATTTTTTACCATAATAATTGAAGGGATCAAATCAATAAAACATTATAAGACTTCACTAAAAAAATCACTAATTGATCTATGAAGCATAGAAGGTTACCAAATTATGTTTTGAGTGAAGTTTTGGCTTTTGACCCAATAATACGAAGTACTCTGCAGTTTGTATCTCATAGTCCGTAGTGGGTAAGTGGACTCTTGTGGACTCGTGGTTTAAAACTCATTATGCAATTTTTCGTGGATTTGGAATCGGGAAAATCCTAAATAGAATAATAATGTTTGTGTATTGTAAAATAGGAGGGTCATATTATTCTCTAAATAAGAGTACTTGGAATCGTGTTTTGGTAATATCTGATTTTAAACATGACAATTTTTCCACTCTTGATAGTAATTTACTCTTATCTAGGAAATAAAAACATGAATGTTCTATTGTAAATTATCAAACGTTTTTACCCCTATTTCAAGAAATTTCCTTTTAAAATTCAACTTAACCAGTTATCATGGCCGACAGGGAAGGCAAAGTGTAGAAAATCAGGTCTCACTCGCGACTTGAAAATTAGAAAAGATCTCACTCGCGGTGTTCATAAGAGCTTTAGCTATAACTGAATTGGAGGCAAAATACTCTAAGGACGGTTAGGCGGCGTTATTTAGCATAAGTTGTCTTATTTCGTTTGAAGTTGAGCTTGTACTAATGTGTAGAAGCCCTATATCACCACCATTTGGTATCATATCAAAACCTTCCATGCTCTAAATTTGCTTCCCGTAACTGTCCTTTTCACAGATGCTTGAAAATTGAATCTCTAGACTCACAAAAATAATACTCTGTACTACGTAACAATGGAAAAATTAATAAAAATAAAATACTAATGAAATGACCCTAACATGTATACGAAAGCGAAATAGGTTCATTGATCTATGTATCAGAACCATCTATATTGAAAATGGAAGATAGAAAAAGGTACCAAAAACTGGAGTAACAATAAAAGTCTAATATTCATTATTCGACATGCACTTTTCAAGGGATATCACATAGAAATAATTTGTTTTCAGTTAAAAGTCTTTTCTTTTCCTTTGGAAACTGAATAGTTTGACATTGATAAGTTATGTCTACATATAAATGTGGGGTGTTTGTTTATTTACAATGTCTAATTGCTATACTAATTGCTATAGAAAATTCATATGGTGCTTAGACATGACATTTTAGTTTTTCTTCCTAGATGTTGCCACAATGCCACATGACAAATTTCTAATAAAGAGTTTTGCCATATGTCAACCGTTATCCATAGGGTTGAGCTAATGGTTTGCTTTATTATATTATATAGATTATGAATTTAGGATCCGAAAGATGAAACATATCGGTATAGAACCCGAATAATGGAAAAATGTCAATTTAAGACCTAACATTTCATAGGTTTTGATTTATTTAATTTTTTATTAATTATATTACTAATTTTTGATAAACTTTTTCTTCACATAAGTTTATTAGTTTAATAAAACTAAATAATATTTCAAAATTTAAAAATTAAAAAAATAATAAAAAATTATGACAACTTAGGTCCTAGATTGATAGTTTTCAGCCATTTAGGTCCTAAATTGATAGTTTTTCATCATTCAGGTCTTATATTGATGTGTTTCATCTTTCAGGTCCTAAATTGATAAATTTCCTATAATTCCCATTAAGAGATAATTACCCTATGTATTACTAAAATTCCACCACTTTCCCAATCTATGACTTAATGAGTTTTTTTCTCAAAATATAATTAAAATTCGTAATAATTAGTTAATATATTAATAATAATTAAATACATTATTTTTTATGACTAATATGTCCTTAGCCTATTATTATAAAGCCTAATATCCTATTGCTTTTAACCCTAAACCTTGTAGCGACTTCCAATTCCAACGTACAGCTGCCGCTCGATGTACAGCAACACCACCGCCGCTCGCCGTACACACACGCTGCCATCAGTCGCCGTACAACCACGCTTCCACCAATCTCGTTTCTGAGCCACCCGGAGTTCCGGTGTCTCCTCCGATGCGCCGAAGAGGAGTTCGGGTTCGACCCCGACATGGGAATCAGGGCATCACTATCCCGTGCGAAGTGGTCGTTTTCCGGTCACTAAATTTCATGCTCAGAAGACTGAACCGCGGTGACTGCTTCATTCTTTTAACCTGGCGGCGGCCATTCTGGTTTCTCGTTTTTCTTTGGTAGAGTGGTAGAGCTCATTTTGGGCCATGTAAGATTTAACCGACCCGACCTGTGATTCTTTTTCTCTTTTAATGGGTTAGATTTGTTGTACCTTACAAAACAGGTTGCGAACTTGCGAATTGCGATGTAGGGTGTTGCCTTTTGATTCACGTGGCTATTGAGAGAGAGCATTACTAATCACGAAAGGGATGAACGACAAGTTATGGATTTCATTCTTTAAGTTTTCTATTTTTTGAGATTAAGGTTTGTTGAATTTAGGGTTTGTGCCCATAAAATATGGGCATTGAACATTGACCGGTAGTGCAGTAACATAGGGCACTAATTTCACCATGGAATGCAATATATTTAATGACACATTAAATAATAAAATTATTATATCTAAAAAATAAAAAATATAAGTAATTTCGTAAAGTGAATGAGAAGAGAATTAATTTTGACGGAAGTGCATTGATTATTACCAGATTCGATGTGCAGTAATGTCGTGCAGTAATGTCGTGCATTAACAGCAATGTAAAGTACAGTAATTCTAATTGGATAAAATTAGTGCAAAATACACATATTTTAAATAAGGGTATTTTCGTCATTCAATATTTCAATATAAACGAATTTTTCTTTTTTTATTATATTTTCGGTCATACAAACGTTCAAAAACTAGTTAGGTCATAGATTGAGAAACTCATTGAGTTTTACTCATATCCTAGTAAATTTCCCTTAAGAGATACTAAAATTTCACTATGCATATGATAAGAAAAGGGGTTGCTTCGCGCACCCCCACAATTGCTTAACGTAACCATGGGCGGACAAATTTGACATTCTTAATTATTAGTTAAATTAATTATAATTAAAACGTTAATTAAAAAATTGCTTTGTGCACCATAAAGTAAAAACGGCTCCACGCTCGATTCTTTCATGAAACGTGGGCAATTGCTTTACATTAAATGTACAACCAATAAAATGCTGCCATGTGGCATGTAATTCCTTTTTTTATATAATAATGTCATAACTTTTTCATTTATGTTCCAATTTTAATAAAAATTATACCAAATTAAATATCTTTTTATGACACCAATATTATATATGTATATATTTTTAAAAAATCTGGTCAAGTCTCGTGAACGGTCGATAAATGTATATTTACTACTCCGTATTATTTAAATCTAGTCTAGTCAGATGTGATCATATTTGTTTAAATTTATCTGGTTCGAAATCAGTTCAATTAAAAACATCCTAAATATCATTCACATCATAAATCTATTCATGTAACATACTTCCTCCGTTCTTAAATAAATGCAACGGTCAACATTTCACACTTGCCGAGACACAACTTTGACCATTAATATAAATGATTTTGTATTAGTAAAAAAAATTAAAAAAAAAATTAGATTATGAAAATTTACAATGAGACAAGTTTAACAATATTTTTTCATAAAATAATATTATTACATTAATAAATAAAACGTATTCAAAGTAGAACATGTGAATAGTGTAAAAGTCAAAGTGTTGCATTTATTTAAGAACAAAGGTAGTATATGACTGTAATGTGAAATCAGCATGGTGCTACTGGAGTTTTAAAAGGTGGGGGCCCTCCACCTTCGAAATTAGTCAAACAAATAAAAAATGAAGATAATTAGTTTACTATAATTAAAAATGTTACTTATTCAAATATATAATCTAATATAGAACTTCCAATAAGAAAACTAATATAGAATTGAGCAAAGTCTAAAAACAAAACATTTACGTTTTTATATACTACCTACGTCCCAAATTGATTTGCAAATTTAACTTTTCTTTGGTCAAACAGTTTCATTTTATTCACTTAATTAGGATGCCAATTTTTATTTATATTCTAATTTGGAGTTTGCAACTTTGAAGAGATTTTAATATAGTTTCTGAATATGTAAATTTTAATTATTAAAAATTGAATTAATTATCGATATAGATCATTGACTTTTATTATTGATTGATAAAAAAATGTTGAATTTGCAAAATATTTTGGGACGTAGTGAGTATAGTAAAGTTTATATCAAACATCTAATACCGTTGTATAAGAAGATTGTAAAAACATTATTAGAGAATTAATCATGAGTTCCAAATATTTATAGAGCTGTTGTTTGATAGTAGTTAGAAAGTGCAATCCTGATTATATTAGGAATTTGATATATTTGTTATGTTATGTTTTCGAAACATATTACACAAAAAGGAAATTTTAAAATTTAGTTTTATTTTAGGAAAAATTGATAGTAATAATACCAACTATTGGCAATTTGCTCATAATAATC